ATTAAAGCCTTGTACTATCACCATGCCTGGACCTAAATTGTTCTTTAATTCCTTTTAACAAGTTGGAAGCTTAGCTGGGTGGGGTCTTGCCCTAAGGTGACCAATCCCTTTATTCCATTCAATACCAGGCTTTTCTTTAATCTGCTTATCTCCTTGAACACAGACTTGACTCCATTCTGCTTCCTGGTTCTACTTTTCTCCTCAATCTATGCATTTTGTATTTTTACTTGCTCAAATGGCTCCTTTTCATTTTAAATCTTCATAAGAGTAAACACTAATAATTGCAGGACACAGTCAATACTAGACTGTTTCGAGATTTCTTCTGCCAACACAATCCCAAAACCCTTCACTTTGGCCTCAGGCGGATTTTTTGGACAAGGGTAAAAAGCAGTCATATTCTTCACCAAAGTGTTACAAGAACAGTCTTTAGGCCATATACTAAAATTCTTCTCCTCTGAAATCTCAAGTCAGTCTCCCCACAATTCAAATCACTATCAGCACCACTGCCTTCCATGCTCCTACTTGCTGTGGAATAATCCTATTGTACACTGTAAAGATTTGTCACTCAGATTGGTTTAATAAAATGCTGATTGGCCAGTAGACAGGCAGGAAGTACAGGCAGAGTGACCAAACTAAGAATGCTGAGAAGAGGAAGGGCGGAGTTAGGAGTCACTAGCCAGACTCAGAGGAAGCAAGATGAGAATGTCATACTGAGAAAAGGTACCAAGCCACTGTTATCTATGTGGCTAAACATAGATAAGAATTATGGGTTAATTTAAGTGTAAGAGCTAGTTAGTAATCAACCCGAGCTACCAGCCAAGCATTTATAATTAATATAAGCCTCTGTGTGGTAATTTGAGAAGTGGCTGCCAGGTATTTATGAGTTGCTGGCAGGACAGAAACTTCTTCCTACACCTACTAGTATGGCCCATTGAGCCCCACTTAAATCATTCAGCTGCTTTTCTAATCCAAAGTCCCAGAGTCTACATTCCTCCAAACAAAAGCATAGTCAGGCCTATCACAGAAATCCCCCAGTTCCTGGTACTCATGTGCTTGAATGCTTGACCCATAGGGAGTGGCACTGTTAGGAGGTGTGGCCTTATTGGAGTAAGTGTGGCCTTGTTGGAAGAGGTGTGATACTGAGGGGTGGGCTTTGAGGTCTCAGAAGATTAAGCCAGTTCACTTCCTGCTTCCTGCATATCAAGATGTAGAACTCTCATCTCCTTCTCCAGCACCATGTCTGCCTACATGCCACCATGTAGTCTCCAGGAGGCTGGGACTGGCATGAGCTTAGCCAACTGCCAGGACCTCCCTGTTGGCATTTGCTGGGAACTCATCAAAATTCTCCTCCAACAGCTTTGTTGTTGTTTTTGGTTTTGCTTTTTTGAGACAAGGTTTCTCTGTGTAGCCCTGACTGTCCTGGAACTCACTGTGTAAATCAGGATGACCTCAAACTCACAGAGATCTGCTTGTCTCTGCCTCCTGAGTGCTGTGATTAAAGGCGTTTGCCACCACACCTGGCCCTCCTAAAGCTGTTAAACACAAAACTTCCACAGTACTTTTAATGAAACTTGGATTTGAGAATTCTTAAATCATATCTGCTTGAGAACAAAAGTGCTGCTACATAAAAAGTTCTGGTTAAGTGCCAGAACTGTGCATTTTAAAAAGTGGATGTCTTGTTCCATCCCATCCTTTCTAGTTTTAATCTATGAGGGTCAAACCATTGTTTCTCAACTAAATTTCAGGGAAGATAAGTAACTATTAGTAGCAGACACTAGTACTGAAAAAACAGTACGAACTTGCAAGAATATCCTTATTTCCTTAATATTGTTCCTCCTCTATTAGACAATACATTCAATAAGAGTGAAGAACAGGAAAGATCATGAACCTGAGAGTAGTTAATATCACACTCATTTATTCAAGTATTTCTTACAAGCAAAATATAGGATAGACACTGCTTGGACATTAGCTACATTCATCATCTCATATAATGATTAGAAGGTATAAGAAAGCAATAGTAAAATAGAAAGATGATATGAACATCATATGGTAGCATTGTGAGTCATGTAACACATATTGATTGGAAACAGAACAGACTGTCTTAATCTCAAGTGCCTCTGATCTTTTTTCTTGAATATGGCCTAAGTTTAGTTGGTTCGCTGAAGATTCTATAGTCTTTGCCCTTTCCCTACAAAACCCCTTCCTCTAATTTTCACAATGTCAATTCATAATGCTTTCCTGTTTGTCATGGTAAGACCTTATTTGTGTAAATATGCTATGTACTTTGATGTGTTATATTTCTGGAAAAATTACATGTAAAAGTTGAAGATATGGTTATTATAAAAATGTAGTATAGAAAAGACTATATTGCCTGCAAGTTTGATGTTTAGTTACTGATTATGATACAAATAACCTATTGATCTAATTTTTACTCTGGACATTCCTAATTCTTTACATATAACATTTCACTAACGCCTACACAAACCTTGGACAATGAAGAAGATATCTGTTCAACAAATGTACTTGCCAACACATTTATTCAAGGTTACTGATAGGTGAAACATTGTTTTTAAAAGCATTGTTTTCAAAGAACTGTTTCTTATTATGCAACTTCAAAACTGGTTGTCTTCTTTCAAGAAAATCAGTATGTACACAGAAAATCCAATTGGCCCATGTATGTTCATTATATAAACATCACAAGCTTTCAGGGAAATATCAGTTTGTCCATTATAGTCTTTTCTATGCTACAGTTTTATAATAACCATATCTTCAACTTTTACATGTAATTTTTCCAGAAATATAACACATCAAAGTACCTAGCATATTTACACAAATAAGGACCTAACTCATCTTTAAGTTAGTGGAACTCAAATTACTAATATTTATGGACAAGGCTACTACAAACAAAATTGCAAAAATTGATTCCATTTATTCAGCAAAGTAAAAAGAACAAAAAAATTCATATCAAACTAATATAACAGAGAGAGAGAGAGAGAGGTGGTGAACAGAAAGAATCCTCCCTCTTCTGAATCCAAAAATGCACTGCTTCATCCTTTCATATGAAAGAGTAGATGTAATTTTAAAAAGTTTTAAATAAAACTGCTGAACTTTTGTTGCTATATTTTTATCCAAATACTCTTTCCTCACTCTATCTTTATTCTTCCCTTTCCAAAACAAATATAGAAAACGCAAAAATATTTCTTGTGTGTTGTCTCATTTTGCTTCCATTTTATTGAGTAGTGATTGTGGAAATTAGACTCCAACTTCTTTAGTCTCTTCAATGTAGATGCACACCAGTAACTCTATATGGTGCTTCCAAGCCCTTTACCTTTGCCTGAAGTGTGGCTGATATACTCAGTGACACTTCATTGGAGAAAACTGATTTTCCCTTTCCCAGCATGGATCAATTGCAAATAGCTTCTTGGTTAGAGGTGGGACTTTGTATCCACTCTCCTTTATCAGTGCTGGGATTTTGTCTGATCTAAAACTTATGTAGATCTTGTGAATGCTGGGCACCTCCATAGTACAAAAAGAGAAAAGAAAAAGAGAAAAGTAAATAAAAGACAGATAATGGAGGGTCTTGTATTTCCAATGAGACACTATAGGTAATGCTATCCCCTGCCTAGCATTATTATTAATTAATCACTGACAATCATTGAAAAAGAATGAGAAAACTGAAACTGGGTGAAATGAAATATTAAGTAGTTAGAATATGGATTACTTATTGTGTAGCTATGAGCTTTGAGGAAATACATGCATTCAAAATTATACCTAGCATTATGGAGTAGACAGCTGATTAGTTGTCCATTTACTGATTGTGCCATTCACTGAGATGGAATTTAGAGGAGAGAAACAAACAGGTTAGGGAACAGGTAAAGGTCGAAATCTATTAGACAGATTGGGAACTAATATTAAGTTTTACATACCCAAGATGTCCAGTTGACACTGGGTCTCAGGAGTATTGTGTGGGTTTCCTGTATACATAAGAATCATCAAGATATGAATGCCAGCAACATAATGGGGTTAGTTGATATCACCAAGAAGTGTGTGAAGGATAAGAAAACAAAGTTCAGGGCAGAGGCCTATACAACGTGTACACTCCAAAAGCAAATGAGCTAGCATAGAAGTGGGAAGCAAACCTGGTGAATGTAGTATCTTTGGAAGACTAGATTTTAAAGGAGAGAATATTCAGAGTATATATTTTGCAGAGCTGAATTATAACAATGACTAAAAAGTACTTATGTTAGCAACAAACATTGTTGAGAACTTTGTATGAAATGGAGAGGTTGGAGAATGATCATCACTTAAGTCTGTGTGTGGTGAGGAGGCTGGAAGTGGGAGGTTGAAAAGGGTGACTTTGAAATGTTTTGCATAAGAGAAAACTCCAGGGTCTCTAAATGATGATACTAAAGAGCAAGGAAGCAGGGAGCTTGTGGGGGCAGTGGCGCTGGTAATGGTGGTGATGAGAAACAGTTCTTCAAGGGAGGAAAAGGATACAGCATAGCAGACACAAATCACAGGAAAGTAGCTGCTGCTGATTACTGTTGTTGCTGCTGCTGCTGTTATTTTTGCTGCTAAAGCATGGGGGAAATGATTGGTGAGAAACACGAGAAAGTTAAATTTTTTCATAGCGAAGGTAAAAAGGGTTCCTGCCAGAGAAATTCTGTTTTGTCTATGAACAGGCGACATTATCTTCTGAGACTCAGTGGGGAGATGGCGGGGGAAGCTCAATTCCTCATTTATCTTGCTGATTATACTGGCAGACTACTTGTGTTGTCTTGCATCCTCTCGTTTCCTGGGATTATATAGTACAGGGTTCGATGTTGTTTACGAGCTGTTGGATCCGACATAAAGCAGAAGTGGCGACATTATAGCCAGAACTACCACTCCCAGAGTGCAGTATGGGTCCTGGGAAGTGCGGAGGATAGGGAACGTCTCAGATCCCGCCCTCTAACCTGTTCCCATTGGAGGAGAGCTCAAGTTCCCAGGAGGCCACGCGTAGGCGGGGCGCTTTACACGGAAGCCTGCGGCGTCAGGTCTCATCCTTCTCTGATTTCCGGCATTAGGCGACACTGGGAGGACCTGCGCCCTTTGGCCAAGACCCTGAGTGCCCACTAGAGGGTACCGGGACAGGTAAAAGGAGTGGGGCGTTTTTGCGGGATGTGAGGAGACTCCTGAGAGAGAACGAAGGTGTAAACTAGAAGGTGCTAGGATGGAGCAAAAGGCAGGGCAAGTGTGACTTGGATTTTTCTGTTTTTTACAGTTCTAATTGTTGAGCAGGTCCAGTTTGGGCAAAGTATGTTTTACGCTGCTGAAGAGGTCTCGGGTTAGTGTCAGAACACGTCATTTAAGTTGTAATTACAGGGTGGAAAATACTGTTTCTTTCATTAGCGTTCTGCAGACTTTTCTATAGCCAAAAAAACTCTTTCGCCCATGATCACCGACATCACTTTCTGCTTCATGTTTTCCTTATGTTCGTGCTTCATTGTGAGTTCCTAGCCTCCCCCCCCACACACACACACCCCTCCTTTACACCCTTAGCAGTATTGACATTCCTCTTTCTCAGTTCCAGGAGGCAGATCTCCACTCAAACCTATTGTTTGAGTGTGTTACTGTTATTTTTATTGATGGCCAATATTTTACCAAATTGATTATGTATTTGACTCTGGTCAATATGGCTCTGACTCTCATAACCAGTGAATTATCAGGTTTTTTTTTTTCCCTTGGGATTTTATTCATCTAATTCTATGACTTGCATCACCAATTCTGTTTGGAAAATTCTTTCCTTTTGAATAGCTATGGCTGGAAGCAATGTACTTAACATACTTATTAAAGAATAAATACATACTAGATACTCTTTTAAGTGCATGGGATACATTGGTAGTAAACAAGACATAGGAGATGACTAATATAGGAACTTACATGTTTGGGGAACAGGGATAAGTAGGAATAATAAATCAATATGGTGGTATATGTTGGCTAATGGAAAACTTTAAAGGTAGTTCGCTTGACAGAATAAAATCCTTTCCTGAGAAAGTGAGAGTTGGACTTCAGATCATTTCTGAGAAATAATAATTGTGATAGCAACAAGAGTAATCTTGATCTGTAACCTGACTTTTCATAAACACGCCTTCTTTTAATTGTCTTTACAGTGTTCTTCCTTTGCTATCCATTCCAAGGTTATCTAACAAATTGTAATAAACCACAGTTTGTGGTTTATCTGCCATTGACTTATTTCTTGCTATGTCTCAGACTAAAGAGTTGGTAATTGGATTACTATCAGTCAACTCTCGCACCTGAATTAGGGAGTTTGGTATTTAAAAAATATTCTTCTTCCCAGTTTCTCTAGAATATAGTTATCTACTAGTTATAATATTTTAAGTGCACCCAGTGTTCACTTAACTGTTCAGTAAACATTCTGTGCTAGGTATTGTGCTGAGAATTGGAAAGAAAGGGTAAAACAAACACTTTGACTTCTCTTTTAAGGAGAAATGTTAACAGTATACTGAGGAAAATGCTGATACATAGATTGGTACCTAGTCATTCTTTGTCTTCATTCAAGATTAGAATCATAATTACATAATCTTATTTTGAACAATTGAAACAATTATGGTTATTTTTATATTATTCTCTATACATTGTTGTATTTATTTATGTCTGTCTCCCTTTGTATTATGATTTCCTTTAGTATAGGAGTCCTTTCTTAATCGGTTTCATAACTCCATTGTCTACTGCTTTGGCTGTCACATCCAGGGTGGTCTTGAACTCACTGTATTGCTGAGACTTACCCTGAACTATTGATAGTCCCAAGTGCTAGGATAACAGGTGTACATAACCACATCCAGCTACAACAGGTTTTTCTAAGTCCAAACTATAGTAGATTGCCTCATAGCTATAAGAACAAGTCTCTAAAATCAATGAGGAAAGCGATGAGGTAGGTGGTTTTAGAAGTAGGAGAAGCAAGTTAGGGGGATGTAAATTATATGGAAAAGAGAGAATAGGATTGATTTGAGAACAGTGAGTGCTGTTGTGTCCTCCATAAAGCTATGTTGAAGTCCTGACTTTTGATACCTGTGCATGGTACCTTATTGCATATAGGGTTTTGTAAATAAAGATGTGGTCATATTGGAGTACAGTGGACACTTGACTAATATGATTGGTCTCATAAGGATAGAAGAAACACAGAAACAATGTTATGTGAAGACAGGAGAACACTATGTGGCTAGAGTGGCAAAGATTAAAGTGCTGCAACTGCAAGCCAAAGAATTGCTAGTAAATTATCAGAAACTAGAAGAGACTAAAGATTCTTCCCTACAGATTTCATAGGGAACATGGCCCTACCAAAACCTTGATTTTTGCCCCTCTGGCCTTTTGAACTTTGGAGTCATAAATTTTTGTCAGTGGTAATCCACCTGGTTTTTGGTAATCTTTATGGCTGCCACAGAAATCTAATTTAGAATTCTTAGCAAGATCTATGTAGAATTGGGATAATGTCTGTTGGCCTAAGTGAGAAATGTTTAAGGGAATTGGGAGAAACAGCATTGAGAAAAACCTGGTATTTCCATTATGTTATTTTGCTTCTCTATCTGGTTTATTCCATGCTTTTTCTTTCTGAATGTTACTTTATACAGCATTTTGTGGTTTATTAGACAGTCACATAGTGCTGATAATTAGTAGAGCTAGGTTTCCTTATTTCAAATATAGTGAGTGTTCTTTCTGCTACAGTTGTTTCTGTTATTTCAATACTCATCAATATGTTAACACATTCAACTGCAAAAGAGTTACAGTGTGAGCAGATTTGACTGTAGGTGGAGTTTTTTAGTAATACATGACAGCGTAAAAACATTCCTATTAGTGACATCTGGAAAGAAAATCAGGTTTTTGTTGCTATATATGCAATGTTTAACAGTTTAAATTTTAATTCAGAACTAGTTTTATTGAGGAAAAATTATTCTTTATACTATTTATTACACTACTTCTCTGTAACTTATATCCACTGTTCCCAATCTTACTCTCAATAGCGTGCTCTATATTTCAATACATACACACTTTATATAAACTTTAAAAATGTTTTACATTCCCTTTTCTTCTCTTTTTCTTAACTATTTTTAGTTCCTCAAGCCATTCTTTTTTTTTTTTTTTTTTTTTTTTTTGGTTTTTCGAGACAGGGTTTCTCTGTGTAGCTTTGCACCTTTCCTGGAACTCACTTGGTAGCCCAGGCTGGCCTCGAACTCACAGAGATCCGCCTGCCTCTGCCTCCCGAGTGCTAGGATTAAAGGCGTGCGCCACCACCGCCCGGCAAGCCATTCTTTATATGACATAATCTTCAGATTTCTCACATGTAGTCTCTCCCTTCTGTTCAGTCTTGAGATACCTAAAACTAAATTCAGTGTTCTTTGTACGGTCTAACCAGCATGGCATGGAATAGTAATAGAACTTAAAGAGAGCAAATTACCCCATTTCTTAACACAACGTAAGATTATTTAAGCATTTTAAACAGTTACCTCGTGCCCTTGGTTCATAATGAGTTTATAGCTGATGAAAAAAATCTTTTTTATGTTGTTGCAAACCTTGGTTTTCTTCTTGAAGTCACAGAATGACCAAGGTTATCACTGTCTCATCTTTCTGTCTGAATACCATATGAATTCTTATTTCTGTATCTCTGTGTTTTCATTTGCTCGACTATATGTCTCTTTGACCCTAGGCAATAGCTTCTTTTCTTTTAAAATTGAAGTCACTATTTTCTAGTCCTCATTCTGTGTATGAGCCAACACATCCAGCCACTAAAACTTGTTCCTTTTAAATTTTTCTTTCTCTTTTGGCCTCTGGGCCACATTTTCCCAGTTGGTCCTCTTGAGTTTTCTTTGTGGGTGTCTACTCTTTTATCTTTCCCTTAATTGTTGTTTATGTCTTGGGTTTATCATTGACCCTATTTTATATACAATGTATTTTTTATGAATTATATTTTAAATGTCAAATCCACATGAGCTCATCTTTGATAAAAGGATATAGAATCAATCCCTTAGGGGATTAGTGTTGCATTTGGGGCGGGGGGAGTCATCAAGAAGAAAGCCAGAGAGGCCAAATATATAGGAAAGTTTCAAGAATGAGAATCAATTAGCATGTTGAATATTCTTGAGAAATAAAGTAAGGTGATAATAGAAAAATGATCATTTTATAGCATAGAGGGAGGTTGTTGGTGATTTTAGGAAGCATTATATTGGATTTTTAAGGGCAAAAGCCAGAGTATAGTAAGTTGAGGAGTTAAAAGTAGGTAGAGAAGCAAAGATAATATATAGACAAGAGTCTAAGGAATATAATAACTGCAGAGTGGTGATACATGGTCAAGGGAGGCTTTTAGATCAAGGGAGATAAAAAGTATGAGACACTGGTTTGGAAAGTGTAACTTCCTACATATTTATTTGTACAGAGGACTCTGGAAAGAAGACGGGTGAAGACATAACTCTAGGGAACAAATTTATTCAGGCAGTAGGAATGAAGACGAGATCCTACTAGAAATTCAGATGAATGCCTTTTGCTCTATGTACTGTCCTTTAATGCTGAGAGTTAATTTGTTAATTTCTATATCTTAAACCACGAAACAGAGGAATCTGCTCTGTTTGAGGGAAAAATAAGCATATTCATATCCAAATGTCAGCAAAGTAATTTTTTAGGAAAGTAATTTTTAACTCATGCCATATTGTTTTGGTAATATTTTATTTATGAAGGTCCTACCATAAATTATAAAATCATTCTTCTTTTATAGAAGCTTTGTGTTAATTTAATTTGGTTTCTTTTATGGATGATGCCTTTATATTAGAGGTGATTATCTTAGAGGCATAAATTATATGATATAAATATTACTGGTTCTATATAGTCATGTGTGTTCTAGAATCACACTGTCTGGGTTTAAATCACCATATCACTGTAGCTTTGTAATCTTGAGAAAAATAGTTATGGGGTCAATGCCTCAGTTTCCTTATCTATGATAGCACCGTAACTGAATATAATCCCATTGAGTTGTGGAGATTAAATGAGTTAATTATAAAGTACTTAAACTAATGTCTGTTACAAGGTGAAAACTTAATAAATATGGGTTGTTGTTACTGTTATCATGAATCTAACATCTATTTTCTGCTAAACTATTTCCCTAAGATAAATTTTCAGGATGAGATTATTTCATTAAATTGAGATGGCATCTTTATGTTACTTTGCTATCTATGACCATTGTTTTTCAAAAGAGTATCAGTTTCTGCTATACAATTTATAAATACATCCTGTGTGTACACTGATATGTAACTATAAGCAGTTTAAGTCATAAGTTTGTAGAAAATCTTGAGGTTCTCTCTTTTTTTTCCTTATTGGTGAGGATCAAGCCTAGGGTTACAGGCATACTAAGCATACTTTATATCACTGAGCTGTGTCCTCAGTTCCTATTAAGTCTTCATTGATTTTTATACTATAGTGGCTTGTTCAGTACTATCTCTAGATGGATGTAGATAAATGTTGTTTACTTTTGAAAGCTCATGCCTAAGTAATATTCTAAATCTGTGTCCTTTTTTTTACTTTTAATAGATTGAAGTCATGGCCATTCTTTTTGCTGTTGTTGCCAGGGGAACTACTATCCTTGCCAAACATGCTTGGTGTGGAGGAAACTTCCTGGAGGTGACAGAGCAGATTCTGGCTAAGATACCCTCTGAAAATAATAAACTAACGTACTCACATGGCAAGTGAGTTCTAATCTGCATGTGGTAGAGGGAAGGAAATAATTTTATTGTAATAAAAACAGTAGAAAGTAAGCTTTTAGGTAGATTATTTTGACAAAACAATAATTTGATCAGCTTAGAAAATTTCTGGTGCTAAGCTAGGCAATGTGGCTATAGCTCATGCCTATAATCCTATTACTAGATCCCACTATGAGTTCAAGGCTCTAAACCATAGAATGAAACCCTATCTCAAAACAGTAAAGTCTGGTTTTGTTACTTATTAATTTAACTTATGATTATTTTATCCTATCATTAAAATGATATATTAAAGAAAGATATGGAAATGTTATATATAAAATGGCTTTACTATAGAGTTCTAAGATAAGTGGAATGATACAGATAATATAAACAGTATTCTTTTTTCATTCTTTTAGTAAATATTAGCTCAGTACTTAGCTAATGATAGACACTTTACATGTTGAAAGTGATATGACAAGAAATGTGGTATTTGCCTTCGTAAAGATTATGGTTTGATGATGAAATCTGTAGATAGGTATAGTAGAGACTACAAAATAGTGGCATTCTAAGTTAGAAGGAACAGAGTTATGCAGTCATATTTATGACATTGTTAGTCATTCTTTGTGGCTAGTACTCAGCATGATGATAATAAAACTGGGTAGGAGAAAGTCATGCATGGCTTCATAGGGCATATTAAGAGTTTAGACTTAACCTGTAGGCAGTAGAAAAGCACTGAAGGTTTTTAAGGTATTTCAGCTTTTGCTCTATAAAGATCACTATGGTGGCATATTAAAGAGGACATAGATGGGAAATCCTAGTAATCATGTTAAAATGTACCTAAGCTTTCCTCATTGGTGCTTAAAATATTTTATTACTTAATCTTTACTTTTTTAGTTTTTATGTCAGGAAATTCTTATTATTTTCTAGGGTTAAGCCCCTTTACAAGTTAGTTAAAGCTACTGTGAGAAGACACTATGATACAAAATTGACGTATATGAAATAGTCCAGCGATGAGTGGTTCAGAGCTAGTGGGGTAGCTTTGCTATCACTGCTGAAAAATTGTGGAATTCTTTTAGTTGGAGGAAGGGACTATATCTTCCACTATATTATTAGAACCAGAATTTAGTAACATACCTACATCTAGCTACAAGGAAGGCTAGGAAATATAATTAAAATGTAAGTTTTAGTAGAAGAAAATATTTTATACATAATGTGATCTCTACCTAAGTCTTCACCTGCTCCTCCCATGTTTGTTAGGTGAAGTTTAATCACTGAGTTTTTTTTTTCTTTTTAAACTTCTGCCCTAGTTTCAGTCATATAATATTTGTCATCTCAATAAGATAACTTTTACTTCTGTGTACCAAAATAAGAATATCCACATCATATAAATTGAGTACTTGCACTAGACATTCAGCTAGCTAAGCCTAAAACTTCAGAATCATATTTCACTTCTTCACCAAATATTTACCTTTCTTCTACAAGTTTATCAGCCCATTCCTTCTCTATCTCCATTTTTTTTCTTCAGTTGCCTCATCTTCTACTCCTTTAGTCCTCATTTTTGTTTTCCACCCACATTTAACAACTTATTACTCTTCTAATTTCTTTGTTTCTTCATAACATTTGTAATAATTCTCACCTTTTATTGGAGTATGTGCAGGCAATTAATCTTTTTCCCTGCATGTTCTATACTTTTGGCATGTGAACAGATATTACTTTCCTATATCTATTATGTGTTCTTTTTATCTCCACATCCTTACACTGCCTAATTCTGCACTTTTGTATATTCTTTGCTTATTCTTTGCATTCCTCTCTATTACTTATTCTTTAGAATTCAGACCATATATCACTTTTACCCTTTGATACATCTCCATTACCTGCTTACTCTATACTACCCTCAACTTCATTATCATTTTGTTTGCTATGTTGCATTGTTATTCCTTACACTACAATCCCTAAAAAAGTGGGGCTAATGGTTTTATATTCTATATCCTTATTATCTTGCACATTAACTAGTTCAAAGCAGATGCTCAAATGTTATTGTTGAGAATTTGGTAGCAAAGGTATTTGTATTTGCCATACAGAAAAAAGCTAAACAAAAAGAAAAACCCTGTGGCCCACTGGGGATAAATTTTAATTGTGTGCCCCTTCTAAAGCACCATCTCTTCTTTAGGCCCTAAGAATCCAATTATGTTTTTGTATGTAACATTTTAATGGTTAATGTACATATTACTATATTTATGAAGGAGAACTTCTTTTCATGTTTTATTCATTCCTGTCAGTTTAACTAGAGATAGAAATGTATAAGGTAGGGGAGGATGAGAATGGATTGTATTTGTAATCAGTATAGTGAAATTGGACATACTGAACTGGCTTGTATATAGATAGAACTTAGAAGTGAAATAGATGATGCTTAAAACCACAATACATTTTATATCTTTTATTCTACAGTTATTTGTTTCATTACATCTGCCAAGACAGGATTGTGTATCTTTGTATCACTGATGATGTAAGTAACTTGAAGATATATTGCTATTTCACTATGTATACTACTACAGTCAATTATTAATTATCCATACCTATAGTGGGTAAAAGTGATAAAAAATTTGTAGCTGGAAATTTTTTTTTGCACTTTGCATTTGTTGTAAAGAGCATCTTATGACAAATTTTGATACTTGAAAATGTATTACTCTGTTCAGTTTTGATAGTTTCTACTTAATCTCTCTGAACATTTATCAACATACAGTAAGTATATTGAAATTGATATTAATGATTATGATTGTTGTTTTTGTTTTTAAACAATTTTTTTAAAATTATTTTTTGTTCTGAATACACTGACTGTACTTTCCCCTCCCTCCATTTATCCCTACCCTCTACTCCTCCCAGCCCCGCCCCACCTCCTCTCTCCTACAAATCCACTCCTGCTCCATTTCCCTTCAGAATAGAGCAGGCCTCCCAGGGCTATCCACTGAACATGGCATAACAAGATACAATAATACTAGGCACAAACCCTCATATCAAGGCTGGGTAAGGCAACCCAGTAGAAAGAAAAGGGTACCAAGGCAGATGAAAGAGTCAGCAACACTCCCACTTCCACTGTTAGGATTCCCACAAAAACACCAAGCTAATAACCATAACGTATATGCAGAAGACCTAGTATGAACCCATGCAGACTCTATGATTGCCTCTTCAGTCTCTGTGAGCCCCAATGAGCCCTACTTATTTAATGTCTGTGGGCCATATTCTCCTGGTATCCTCAACCCCTCTGACTCCTACAGTTCTTCTTCCCCCTCTTTCTGTGTAGTTCCCTAAATTGGAAATAGCCAATTTGGCCTCTCTCTACCTAATGATTATTATGATTGCTATTAAAGCTTCTCACAATGTTGAATATTAAATTAATTATTTAAATATTTAATAAATTTTTTATGTATCTATTCTTTAGAAAAACAGTATCATAGTACATTATGATCAACTATGTAAATGTATAGTTTACATTGGTTAGGTTGTTTTCTGTGTATGTTGGCTATAAGCCCAGAATGATCAGTAATAATGTCATCAAGGAACATTCTCTCCTTTTCTTTACTCATTAGTTTCTTGTAAGTTCCTCTTATGGTCGCATGTAGCTACATGGCTATTTATTTATGTACAAAGAAGAGAGACTGGGTACTTTGATCTCTTATTGTAGGAATGAGGAAAATATGCCTCTTTCTTTTCTTTTGAAGTTAACTTCTTTTCATGTTATACTGGCATGTGCTTATTTCTAAGCTCTTCTTTGACAGTCATGGAATTAACATGATTTCTTTTTTTTTTTTCTTCCCCGAGACAGGGTTTCTCTGTGTAGTTTCGTGCCTTTCCTGGAACTCACTTTGTAGAGCATGCTGACCTCGAACTCACAGAGATCCACCTGCCTCTGCCTCCCGAGAGCTGGGATTAAAGGCGTGCACCACCACCACCTGGCAAAATTAACATGATTTCTATAAATCAGTGTTGTTAAACTTTCTTGTCACAGACTCCTTTGTCATTGTGGTTACACTGAGAATGTTGTTAACTGTATGAACTAGAACACACAGGAGTCTAAGCAAAATCAATTTTACTTACATATAACACTCAATATATTTTAAAGGATACATTAATGAATATACTTCTTTATGACTTTGTAGCTGGAGAATTTCTCTCCTGCTCCCAAGTCCCGCCAGTCCCAGAGCCCACTTATAAAATAAACACACAGACTCTTACATTATTTAAACTGCTTGGCCATTAGCTCAGGCCTATCATTGTCTAGCTCTCACTCTTTTATATATATTTTACAATACTATTCAGTTCTACATAATAGCCACAGATTCCCTTGTTCTCTCCCTTCCTGCCCCCCTCCCCTTCCCCCTAGCCCACCCCCCATTCCCACCTCCTCCAGATCAAGGTCTCCCCCGAGGACTGGGATCGACCTGATAGACTCAGTCCAGGCAGGTCCAGTCCCCTCCTCCCAGATTGAGCCAAGCGTCCCTGCATAAGTTCCAGGTTTCAAATAGCTAACTCATGCAATGTAGTTCTCACTCTAATATGACTTCATTAACAATACCTGGTCATCACCCTAATAATACTTTTGAAATGTTGATGCATGAAGTTTATTTCAAAATACCCGTAACTATGATATTATATTATTAAGTATTTCTGGAGATGACTAAGCTACAGGTACTGTTTAATACTCCTTTGTTTTGTTACTTCCATTCAAAATTGAAATTTAACCTAAAGAATTATGAAAGTAACAGTGTACTGTGTAGTGGTATTTGCTCTGCCCATGACCTTGGGCTGTTCAGGCCAATTCGTCTTGCCATTTTACGTGACTTCTTAAAAGGAGAGGAGAGAGGGGTCATGTGGTCCATTCCATTTATTTATTTATTTATTTATTTATTTGCTTGTTTGTTTGTTTGTTTAATCAATCCTAGCATGATCTGGATGACCTGGGAATTGAATCTGGTTCCTCTGGAACATCAGTCAGTGCTCTTAACCACCAAACCACCTCTCTCCTTTTAAGAGGTCATGTACAATGGCAAGAAGCACTACCTCCTTCAGGCCATATAATCCAAGGTCATCAGTGGAGCAAATACCACTACAGTAATATTTCTTTGTATCCTAATACAAGTACCTACTAGAATTCTTACCATTGATCCCAGTTCAAGAATACTTGCTGTAGTGGTGGAGTGATGGCTCAGTGGTTAAAATCACTGGCTACTCTTCCAGAGGACCCAAGTTTGATCTCTAGCACCCACATGGCAGCTCATAAATATCTATAACTCCAGGCTCAGGAGGTCTGGCACCCTCTTGTGAACTCTGAGGCACTGCACACACGTGGTGCATAGGCAAAAAACACCTCCACATAAAATAATGAGTCCTTGATTTAAACTAAGTTGAAATGATGTTCAGTTACATTGATTATCACAATGATTTTTACCTCTAGTTTCACAATAAAGTCCAGCTGTATCTGAAAGGACTAATGTAAAATGCTTAAAATAGATGAGAACTGTCATAGAATCTCAAATGGTCCAAATTGAGCAGCAAAATTCATTTTTTTCTTTTTTTTCTTTTTTTATTTCATTACTTATATTTTTTTATTCTGAGTATTAAAAAAAGTTTCTATGAAAATATACATGACCCAATTCTGCACCCCAATCAAACAGTCCTTAGGGGAAGGATGTGGACTCCTCGAGCAGCAAAATTCTTAAGCTGTGATTTGTTGTATGTGTGCACACATACATATACACAACTTTTTGGCTGACTTGGAGTAGACAGGGTACATCACTTGACATTTTCAGGTGTATCACTGTATTGGAAAGTATTAGTTCAAAATTCATATTAATAGCATTATCTTTATATATTAAAAACTCTACTCTTTTTAAAAATCTTTTATTTGGTTTATGTATATGTATGTATCTGTGTGTGGGAATGTCCACAGAGGTCAGAGAGCAAGTCAGATTCCTTGGAGCTGCAGTTATAGGCAGTTGTAAGCTGCCCAACCTGAGGGCTGAGAACCAAACTTGGGTTCTCTTAAAGAGTAACAAGCTCTCTTAACTACTGAGCCATCTCTCTAGCTCCTAAAACTATACTGTTTTTTATTTATTTATTGAGCATTTTCTTATGCTGGACCTTGTGATCATGTGAAAGAACTGGAAGAACTGAAAATCAATTCCTGACCCCTGAGGTATTAATCTACATACCATTGTTTTTAGTTTGGATCTGACTCTCAGCTTTTTAATTTATTAGCTGTTTGACATATGGCAAGTTAGTTGTCCTTTGAAACTTTTGTTCTTTATCTATGAAACAGGATCAGTTCTGGTTATTCCTCATGGAGTCAGAAAACAGTATTATTATTACTAATATGCCACATATCTTTGTTTATATGTATACATTGGTCACTTTACAGGATTTTGAGCGTTCTCGAGCCTTCAGTTTTCTGAATGAAGTAAAGAAGAGGTTCCAGACTACTTATGGTTCAAGAGCACAGACTGCTCTTCCATATGCCATGAATAGCGAGTTCTCAAGTGTTTTGGCTGCACAACTGGTAATATTTTTCTCAGGACATAGTGTTTTGATTTGTATTTTCTTCTTTATTACCTTCAAACACGATGAATATAGTTGCCCTAACCTATAGAACACTTTTCTGATTGTGTCGCTATAAGCCAACATAATAAAGCTTCCCTATTAAAAATGTAAAGGAGTCATTTTAGTGTAGAAAGCTAATTGGTGATATCCTCTATTACTAATAGTCAGCATATCTCAGGATTTGGAATAGTGTTAATGATAGAGTAGTTTACCCATTTAATGCTTAAATCCACTAAACTTGTCAAGTGACATTTTAACCTATATATAAACCCTTTCCTTATCCATGATGTAAGTTTGAGTTTTGAATAGCTCAAATTAGTCATGTGAAAATCTGTTCATCTGCATAATTTCCTCATTGTCAACTGAATTGATGGTGTGCGTGTTTGTGTAACTCTGAAATGCCACCATAGTCAAAATAAAAAGACCTTTCTATTAACCCTAAATTTTCCCGCATGCCGCATGTCACCCTGTTCCAGCAAATTATTGATCTATATTTTATCTCTATAGATTAGTTTTTTCCCTAGAGTTTTCTATAAATAGCAATCATAAAGTAAGTACTCTGATGTGTCTTGTTTGTTTTGCTCATTAGAATGCTTCTAGTACTCATCCATGTTGAGTAAGTCAGCAACATATTTCTGTTTTCTCCTGAACAATACTGTATACATACTGTTTTACTCATTTACCTGTTACTAGATGTTTGGGTTGTTAGTTTTTAACTGTTATGAGTGAAGCTGCTGTGAATCTCCACATACGAGTTTTTGTGTGGGCATATGTTTTATTTCTCTAGTAAATAAATACCTAGGAATGGAATTTCTGGGTCAGATGGTGATATGTAATTTAAAAATTTATCACATACTATTTTTCCAAAGTGAATGTACTATTTTAAATTCTCATTGGCAATTCCAGTGTTTTTCATCCTTGTCAACATTTATTGTCTCGTTCATTCTAGCTATTCTGGAGGGTATGCACTGGTAGCTCATTGTGTTTTTAATCTGTATTTTCATGATATGAATGATGGTGAGCATCTTTCAAAATGCTTTCTTTTTATCTGTCAAAGTATTTGGGCACAAAGACATAACCTCTAACTATTATTTAATTGTGAATATGGGAAACTATACATTTTTAATCAGTTTTTGTAAACAAATTGCTAAATGGTCTTATTAATAAAAAAAAAAAAACAAAAAACAAAAAACAAACAAAAAACCTGGAGCCAGATATTGGGGTTAAAACCTGAGAGATCAGAGAAGCAGAACAAGCCACAGCCAACCTCACCTAGACAATTTCTCATCCAATCTTGTTTCCATGAATCCTCAAACTGAAAGCTTCTGAGTCCTCACCTGAATAGATCTCAGCTGAACTGCTGATAAAAGCTTAAAAGCTTCTAGTTCCTGGCTTCTAGCCTTATATACCTTTCTGCTTCCTGCCATATTACTTCCTGGGATTAAAGGCATGTGTCTTTCCCAAGCAAGACATGAGATCTCAGGTGCTGGGATTAAAGCTGTGTGTCACCACGCCTGGCTCTTCAAAATATATACTATCATTAGTCTTTTAGATTCTAGATCTTGAGAGAAGCCAATGAAAATAAGAGACATGTTGTGATCCCAGCAGATAGAAGGGCAGATATTAAAAGAAGTGAGCATGCCCCTATTTCATCATATCCAAGAAGTGAGGAAAATCAAGGGTACCTGCCTCTCCCCATCCCAACTATAGTAATTTTTAATTTTTTCCTTCCTTCTATATAAGCACAGATTACATATCCCCTCATTTCTGCCCAAAGAGTCTCATATATTTCATATTATAATATATTCACTGAATTTTACTTAAAATAAGGTATTTTATGCTAAAGTACATTCCATATGAAAGCAATTTTCATACTGCCAATATTTTTTCTAAATGTAATACTATTTTTTCAGATATATGTATCTTTTATATAACAGATCCATAATTATATAGCATTCCTCAAAATAGGTTGTTATTCTTTATTTCTTATTGTAAATAATGTCTTAATATTGTATGTTAAAACTTAATATCTTGTAGAAGCATCACTCTGAAAATAAAGGGCAAGACAGAGTGATGGAGACTCAAGCACAAGTGGATGAACTGAAAGGAATCATGGTCAGAAACATAGGTATGTTTCAGTGGCATAGTTTCATTCATATGAACACAAATAATAATGAATTACTAGATTGGAGTCAGATTGTAGGGAGGCTGAAACAGCACTTCCTTGTTTTCACCATCTGTGTCAGGGGTTCTCAACCTTCCTAATTCTGTGACCCTTTAATACAGTTTCTCATGTTGTGACCCCCAACCATAAAATTATTTTCATTGCTACTTCATAAATGTAATTTTGCTACTGTTATGAACCATAATGTAAATATCCAATGTGCAGGATATCTGATATGCAACCCTTGTCGGGGTTGAGAACCACTGATCTAGATGCTGATATATGGTCTTGCCTTTGTTGGGTGGGTGTTTGGTTTCTGTTGCTCTCTGCTTCTTAGGAGGGTGTGGTGACTATGTATTGCTTGGTAGTGAATGCTTCTGGGATCCTATTAAGTATGGTTCCTGGAGGTTCCTGGTTCAGTGCATTTCTAGGTATTGGGAGCTGATACTTAGAAATGGGAATGAGCTATAAGAGAGAGGCTGGGGGGCTCCATAGGAGGGAAGAAAGGAGGGTGTTCCAACCATGATCTGTTTAGTACCCTAGGAATGGAGGCAGAGAATCAGGAGAGGCCACAGCATGTAGTCTGCTATAGATCTGGGGATGAGACTTGGGTATTGATTTTGGAGGAAAGGAGGGCTCATTTACCTTCTTCACTGGCCTACTTGGTTCTCTAGATGGTTTTTCTGGTAGGCTCCCAGGGAATGCCTGCTGAAGTTGGGGTCTGAGACAAAGGTATGAGTGTGGAGAAAAGTTAGAGGATAGCTATATGATCCTCTGGAAATGATGGCTAAAAGGGAGGGGAGGCCGCAGCAAGTGGTCTGTTACAGAGCTGGGGTGAGACTAGGCGATTGGATTTGGAAGAAAGGAGGGAACATTGAAGATCTGCAGTTAGCTTGCTTTCCTGGCCTGTGCATCAGGCAGTGTCTTGATTATGATTACTATTGCTGTGATGAAACACCATGACAAAAAGAAACTTGGGGAGGAAAAGGTGTATTTGGCTTACACTTCTACATCATAGTCCATCACTGAAGGAAGTCAGGACATGACCTCAAGCAGGGCTGAAACCTGGAGATGGGAGCTGATACAGAGGCTATGGGGGGATGCTGCTTATGGCTTGCTCAGCATGCCTTCTTATAGAACTAGGACCACCAGCCCAGGGGTGGCCTCTCCCACTCTGTGTGTGTGTGTGTGTGTGTGTGTGTGTGTGTGTGTGTGTGTGTGTGTGTGTCTGTGTGTCTGTGTGTGTCTGTGTCTGTATGTCTGTGTCTGTTGTGTCTATGTCGGGGGTTGTTAGCCTATTTGTTTTCTCAATTTATGGTATCCTTTTTGTGAGACAATCTCATGTAAGACTATTCTTAAACTTACTATATAGCTGAGGACAATCTTGAACTTCTGGTTTTCCTGTATTCTAATTTTCTTTCTGTCATTTTGATAAAATATCCTGAGATAAGCAACTTAGAGAAGAAAAGGTTTATTTTAGCTCACAAGTCCATCATAGCAGAGAAGTAACAAAGGCTTGAAGCAGCCAGTTACATGACATCTACAGTCAAGAATACAGAAAAATAAATGCGTACCTGCTTAATGTTCATCTACCTTTCTCTACTCTTAAATGTCTCAGGGTCAGAAACTAGGGAATAATGCTACCCACATTTTGGCTGAGTCTTCTTATATCAATTAAGGCAAACAAGACAAATCCCCACAGATATGCCTACAAGTGAATCTGATCTAGACAATATTTCTTTGTTTGTTTGTTTGTTTTTTGAGACAGGGTTTCTCTGTGTAGCCTTCACTGTTCTGGAACTTGCTATGTAGAGCAGGCTGGCCTCAAACTCACAGAGGCCACTTCTCCCTCCCAAGTGCTGGAATCAAAGGCATGTGCCACCATCGCCTGGCCTGATCTAGACTACATTTCATTGATACTGTCTTCCCAAGTGATTCTAAGTTGTGTCAAATTGTCAATTAAAACTAACCACCACACCCTGATTTAACCTCCAAAGTATTGAGATTATAAGTATGTACCAGTTTATGCAGTGCTAATGATTAATTCCAGGGTTTATGCGTGCTAGCAAAGAGTTCTGCCAAGTGAGCTGCATCCCCAGATCCTCTTATGATGTCCTTGTTTGACTTTAATACCAAGATAATAATGGACCCATATAATAAACTGAGAAATACTCCTTTCTTTTGATTTATTTTTTATTTTTATTATTATTATTTATTTTACAATACTATTCAGTTCCACATAATAGCCACAGATTCCCTTGCTCTCTCCCCCCCTGCCCCCCTCCCCTTCCCCCCAGCACACCCCCCTTTCCCACCTCCTCCAGATCTAGGTCTCCCCTGAGGACTGGGATCGACCCGACAGACTCAGTCCAGGCAGGTCCAGTCTCCCCCTCCCAGATTGAGCCAAGCGTCCCTGCATAAGTCCCAGGTTTCAAACAGCCAACTCATGCAACGAGCCCAGGACCTGGCACCAATGCCTAGATGCCTCCCAAACAGAGCAAGTCAATCAACTGTCTCACCTTTTCAGAGGGCCCGATCCAGTTGGGGGCCCCTCAGCCTTTGGTTCATAGTTCATGTGTTTCCATTCATTTGGTTATCTGTCCCTGTGCTTTATCCAACCCTGGTTTCAACAATTCTCGCTCATATAAACCCTCCTCTTTTCACTAAATAAACAAATTCATGATAAATTGGTGCTACACAAAATCTAAATGGTCTTTTAATAAAAAACTCAGAGCCAGATGTTGGGGTAAATGCTGAAAGATCAGAGACAAAGGAACAAGCCACTGCCACGTCTCATCTCACCAACTCCACGAATCCTCTGACTGAATACCTCTGAGTCCTCAGCTGAAAGGGCCTCCAGCCAAAAAGTGCTTTAGCCGAAAAGGCTTTAGTTGCTATCTCCTCATGCCTTATATACCTTTCTCTGCCCAGCCATATTACTTCCGTCCTAGTGCTGGTATTAAAGGCATGTGATTCCCAAGAACTGGGATTAAAGGTGTGTGCCACCACTGCCTGGCTCTGTTTTCTCTCCTAGACTGAGTCAATATCATGTAGTCCAGGGTGGCTTTGAACTCACAAAGATCCAGATGGATCTCTGCCTCTCAAGTGCTAGGATTAAAGGCATGAGTGCCACTACTGCATGGCCTCTATATTTAATCTATTGTTCTGTTCTCTGATCTTCAGGCAAATTTTATTAGGGTACACAATATATCACAACATTAAATCAGCCTGTATACTTTAAAGATGTGCTAACCTCAGAATGGAAACCAGAATATGTGTTGGGGATGAGGTTTTGCTTTTGTTTCCACCAGAGAAGAAAAGCTGTGAATACCATCAAAATTGATAAAGGTTCAATTTGAACAAGAGAGACCTCTTAATTAAAAGAGGTGATAGTTCATCAACCAGTGTAATCATTCAATTTAAATTAACTTATATGACTAACAAATGCTTTTCATATGATCAGATATATGGACTGTGATAATGCCACCAAGCTGACAAACACCACCCACAGATTGGCTTTGGACTACAAACTACTCAGGATGATATCAAGATTGCTAGCTTAGATGATACAGCCTCACAGACTACTCCAGTCAGGACTTGACCATAATACAAAATTTTCTTTATGTCCCCATAAGATTACCAGCACCCCCAATCAGCAGGATGTAGCCTAGAAAACTATGCCCACATTCCCAAACAATGGATTATGGATTTTGTCTTTGTTTAGGGGTTTGTTAAAAATTGTTATTGGTCAATAGTCAATCTCTTTTTAAAAATAGAAAGGGGATATGATATAGAAATGTATTATGTAGAAATGATAGGATAAAAAGGTAGATTATTGAATCTACTCAGAAAAAAAGAGATATAGATATGATAAGATAAAAAGGTAGATTATTGAATCTACTTTTAGAAAACAACTACTAGTTTTAAGTATTTTACATTGGATTGGATTTTTGTATATTGTATACAAAGATTATTTTTGTTAGAACATACTGTACATACATTTTTAATCTCATTCAACATATTGTACCTATACAACTCACTTAACAATGTAATGCAATTTTTTAGTTCTTGAAAGTTATTATTATCAACTATTTAGGATAAAAGAAATGCAGGTTAATTGTTAATCACCTATTACAATGGAACTTGACGGGTTAGGTATGTTTTCAAGGTCAGACATATATTTTAGATAAATAGGTTGTCTTTGAACACTTCAGAGATATACAGAATGTGGCATTTAAGATATTTCAATAAAATAGATTCCTTTTTTATGATAATGAGACATGTCTGCTCCTGGCAGCACCAATCTACTTCAGAGAAGATGATGGGCATCGAAGAAACTCCATATGGAGTTTACTTTCTTTGTGGCAAAAGTTAGCCACTGGGCAAGAAAATGTCCTTGCCTTGACTGCTGACATTATGCTGTCCAAATGGGACAAGCAGTACATAAAAGAAAAGACTACCAAACTTTACTAAGACAAGGTAGGAAGGTCCTTTAGAAAATCCTGCTTCACAGATAATTCTGTCAGATATGCTAGGCCTGTAGGCCGAAGATAGGGGCTTTAACATTGCAGAGGAACCTTGGGTGACTATTCAGGCAGCCAGCTGTTTATGTCATTTCTCACATTTTTTAGAAGTTGCTTATTTGCATTTCCTGCTTTCTCAGTAAATGTTATTTTCTTCTTGGGTTTCTGATGGAGTTGAAGACTAGATAGTTATAGGTATAGTTTTCCTCGATAACAAATTCAGAAAAGAAACTCACTAAAGAGGTATAAAGTGTATAAGTTCAAAAAACATCAAAAGATAGTTTGGGGTTGGTAATACAAGTTAGCATAGAAAGTGAATTAGATGCAACACTTTGGACTCACCAAAATATGATAAATAATGGAGTATTTTCTCTGAATCTGTCAAATGTTAATGGACTGGATATTGTTAATGTAATTCTTGACTGTATATATTATATATAGTTATTGTACTTATTGTATATAGTTTTTCTTATATTAGTTATAACCTTTTATTATTTTAGACAAAAAAGGGGAAATGTGGTGATATATTTTGTACTCTAATAAAATTTGCCTGAACATGAGAGAACAAAACAAGCCACTAGATTAAACATAGAGTCCAGGCAGTGGTGGCACACACCTTTAATCCTAGCACTCAGGAGGCAGAGATCTATCTGGATCTCTGTGAGTTCAAAGCCACCCTAGACTACATGAAATTGACTCAGTCTAGGAGAGAAAACAGAGCCAGGCAGTGGTGACACACACCTTTAATCCCAGTACTTGGGAATTACATGTCTTTAATCCCAGCACTTGAGATCTCATGCCTCTGCTACCAGTACTTGGGAATCACATGCCTTTAATACCAGCACTAGGAAGGAAGTAATATGGCTGGGCAGAGAAAGGTATATAAGGCGTAAGTAGACAGGAACTAAAGCCTTTCTCAGCTGAGGAAAGCTTTTTTCAGCTGAAGAGCCTTTCAGCTGAGGACTCAGAGGCATTCAGTCAGAGGATTCATGGAATTGGTGAGGTGAGACATGGCAGTGGCTTGTTCCTTTGTCTCTGATCTTTCAGCATTTACCCCAATATCTGGCTCTGGGTTTTTTATTAAAAGACCATTTAGATTTCACTTAATAAATTGGTGTGTATTTTTCCTGAAATATTTTATATAGAATTTATCTTTGAATCTATCTAGGCATTGATTTTTCTTGTGCAGGATTTTAAATTTATTGACTTATTTATTACTATATTCAAATTTTCATTTGTTAATTATTTATGTGTGGTACCTGGTGCATGCCATGGTGTAGATGTAAAGATCAAAGGACAACTCTGTGGAGCCTATTCTCTACTATATTTATGTGGGTTCTGGATATTGAACTCACATTGTCAGGCTTAGTGACAAACACCCTTACCTTCTGGGTTGTTTTGCTGACCTCAAAATTACATGTTTATTGTAAGAATATTTAATAATTAAGTTTATAGGAAGAAATAAAAGATGAGAATTTAGAGGACCTCAAACATCTAGAATGGGCTTTGTTTAATGCCAGAGAGGTACCATCTTGAGTACTGGCCTCACCATGGTCAGGGCAAAGGACCTAATCACTCAGTGACCAGAGTTCAAGAGAACACAGTTCACATTCTCAAAACTGGGATTTTTGTAATGATAGGGTAATGGGGAAGGCATTTATTAGGGGCAGAGTAGGGAAGTTAGCTGTTTTCCTTAAATAAGCTGTTTTGAAACTGTAGAGTCTGTTGTCTCTTTGCAACTACCAGTTGTCTTTAATTGTGATCAGCTGCTTTTCTTCTGCAGTCAAATAGTGACTTCATAGAATTTTGAGTTTTAGGGCCTTTGCTTTGGCGAGTGGGTTCCTTTATTTCTAATATAAAACATTATTTCTCTTTATAAAATTATTTCCAGATTTGGTTGCTCAACGTGGAGAAAGATTGGAATTACTGATAGATAAAACAGAAAACCTTGTGGATTCAGTAAGTATAGAATATATTTTTTCCAAGGTGTTAGAACAACTGCACTGATGTCTAAGATAATATGGAAATGTGTTAAATTTTATGCTGAGGTGGTTTGTTTCTCTGTTCTATTATTCCTTTCTCATATCTATTATGTCATTATATTGTGATAGAAGGGTAAAGATGAGACATATAAAACAACCACATTCTCTCAGCAACCATTAATGAAGCTTTTGTTTAGAAAATATATTCAATATACAGAAATAATTTCCTAAAACTTTGGATTAAGGCAAAGTTTTTTGACTGATAATTCATTATGTACCTTTACTGTAAGTTTCAGCTTATTGTGACTCATTGTGAATCCTGAAACTGTGCAGTTCCCTTTGGTGTTTATAGTATTAGCTTGACCTTTTCCTTTTATCAAGCCAAAGGTATAGGTTGAAATGTGCCATTAATCCTTAACTGAGAGAAGTGTGTCCCTGTGAGTTACTTGTTCTATTCTCACATATTTCTTTAGATTTTATTTTTTTATTCTTCTCTCATATATTATATCCCTCCTTTCCCTCACCCAGTCTCTCTCTCCCACCTCCCCAGGTCCAGCCCCCCATGTCTTCCCTCAGAAAAGAGCAGGCCTCCCAGGGCCATCAACCAAACATGGCTTACTATGCTATAATAAGACCATACACATACCATCATATCAAGGCTGAACGAGGTGACTCAGTGGGAGGAAAAGGGTCCCACAAGTAGGCAAAAGAGTCAGAGACAACCCCGACTCCCACTGTTAGGAATCCCACAAGAATGCCAAGCTCCTCATCCATAACATATTGTAGAGGATCTAGTCAGACCCCTACAGGCTCCCTGATCTCTGTGGGCCCCCATGAGTCCTGGTCAGTTTAGTCTATGGGCTGTGTTCTCGTGGTGTCCCTATCTTCTCTGGTTCCTCCTATCCTTTCTTCCTCTCCTCCTCAGGATTTCCTGAGCTCTGCTTAATATTTGGCTGTGGGACTCTGTATCTGTTCCCATCAGTTGCTGGATGTAGTCTCTTTGATGAGGATTCTGCTAGACTCTGGTCCCAGAACACTCTACAGGCAGGACAAACTGTACATTGAAGGTTTTGTGGCTGGGTTGATATCCCATCCACTTGAGGCTTTGTCTGGTTATAGAGGATGACCGATCCAGGCTCCATGTCCCCCATTATTAGGAGTCTTTGCTAGGGTTATTTTCCTAAATTCCATGGAGTTTCCATTACACTAGGTTTTTGCCTCACCCCCCAAATGCCCCTCAATTCCAGTCATTTCTCCCAGTATTTTTCCCCCACCCTGACTTGATCTCTCCTGTTCCCAACCCCACTCACCCCCAGTCCACCCTTGAAATCTATTCTGTTATCCCTTCTCAGGGAGATCCTTGTGTTCCCTCCTTAAGCTCTCCTTGTTACTTAGCCTTTCTGGTTCTGTGGACCTTAACATGATTATCTTTTACTTTATAGCTAATATCTACTTATAAGAGAGTACATACCATATTTGTCTTTCAGTGTCTGGGTTATCTCACTCGAGGATAAATTTTTCAAGTTCCATCCATTTGCCTGCAAATTTCATGATGTCATTGTTTTTAACAGCTGAGTAATAAATACTCTGTTGTGTAAATTGTGTTAGAATTTTGATGGGGATTGTGTTTAATCGGTAGATTACTTTTGGTAGGATGGCTGTTTTTACTATGTTAATCCTACCAATCCATGAGCATGGGAGATCTTTCCATCTTCTAATATCTTCTTCAGTTTCCTTCTTCAAAGACTTGAAGTTTTTATCATACAAGTCTTTTACTTGCTCACTTAGAGTTACCCCAAGATATTTTATATTATTTGTGGCTCTTGTGAAGGGTGTTATTTCTCTGAATTCTTTCCCAGTCTATTTGTCATTTGTATATAGGTGTGCTACTGATTTTTTTTTAGTTAATCATGTATCCAACCACTTTGCTGAGCGTGTTTATCAGATGTAGTAGTTTCCTGGTAAAAATTTTGGGGTCAGTTATGTAATAACTATCATATCATCTGCAAATAATGATACTTTGACTTCTTTTCCAATTTTTATTCCTTGATCTCCTTTAGTTATCTTATTGCTCTAGCTAGAACTTCAAGTACTATATTAAATAGGCATGGAGAGAGTGGACAGCCTTGTCTTGTTCCTGATTTTAGTGGTATTGCTTTGAGTTTCTCTCTATTTAATTTTGTATTGCCTATAAGCTTGCTGTGAATTACCTTCATTATGTTTAGATATGTCGCTTGTATCCCTGATCTATCCAAGACTTTTATCATGAACCCATGTTGGATTTAGTCAAAGGCTTCTTTAGCATCTAATGAGATGATCATGTGATTTTTTTTTCTTTCAGTTTGTTTATATGATGGATTACATTGACAGGTTTTCATATGTTGAACCATGGCTGCATCTCTGCAATGAAGCCTACTTGATCATGGTAGATGATCTTTTTGATGTGTTCTTGAATGTGGTTTGCGAGTATATTATTGAATATTTTTGCATCAATGTTCATGAGGGAAATTGATCTGTAATTCTTTTTATTTGTTGAATCTTTGTGTACTTGGAAGTCTTTATTTTTTTTCTTGATTTCTACCTTGATCAGTATGGAGTTGTTCAATTTCCATGAGTTTGTAGGATTTCTGTAGTTTCTGTTGTTGCTGATACCCAGCTTTAATCCATGGTGGTCTTTTCTTCTGACTGATGTGGCCTGCACCTGAGCAAGGGAAGTCTGCTGGCTTTGTGAGTAGGTACTGGCCAAGGGATGGGCAGTGAGTGGAGGAGCCGGGGGGGGGGGGGGGGCTGTCTATTTTCGATGCAGTTCATTGTAAAAGTGTTTTTGGAAAACAGTGATAAATATGTAGAGATCTTTTACAGAGTAAAATTTAACAGATTGAAAAAATCAGTGATTGATTAATCATGGTATTAATTACTTTTTCATTGTTCTGACAAAAACAATTTAAGGAATAGTTTATTTTGACTCACAGTGTGAGGGCTCAGTCCATTATGGTGAGGAAATCATGGAGGCAAAATCTTGAGGAGGCAGATGGTCAAATTGCATATACATTTAGGAAACAAAAAGCAATGAATGCTGACATTCAGCTAGCTTTCTCTTTGTTCTGTCCAGAACTCCAAGTCAGGGAATGGTGCTGCTCATATTTAAGGTGGATCTTCCCACCTCAGTTAACCTAATTTAGATAATTTATCACAAACATACATACATGTCCCGACGGTGATTATAGATACTGTAAAGATGACAATAAAACATCATAATCATGTTGATTGTGACTAGCAATAAGACTGTAGTGATTAAGAGCCTGAACTCTAGAATCAGACGGTCTGCATTTTAATACCACTTGTTAGTAGTGTGAGCTTAAACACATTACTTAATTTCATTATGCCTAAATTGCTATAATCTATAAAATGGCAATATACTTTTTTCATTGATTTTTGAGAATTAAACTATATGATGCATGTAAAGTGCTTAACATCTGTTACATTCTAACAGGTATTTGAAGTTATGTTGTTAATTTTAATATTAGTATTGATTAATAGCAGCTTTTAGGAGGCTGTATGACAACTGTTGTGTTTTGTAGCATTTTATAGGTTTTTTCATCATTATGTGGTAATTAGAAGAATGATATAAAGATTCTTAACTTTTTGAAAATTTCATATATGCTGATAATTCATTTTGATTAACTCTAGCCACCTTCCCTTCCTGCTAATTCATCCCTTATCTTCTCCTATGTTTCTCTCCCAACTTTGTGTGCTGATTTCATTTAGTTCTTCCTGTATGTATTCATTGGTGTAGAACAATCTACAAGAGCATAGGTAGCCTCTTGGGGATGACATTCCTAAAGAGAAATGACTTTTCCTCCCAGAGCAGTCATCAGTTGACATTAGGTCCTTAGTTAGGGGTGGGATCTCATGAGACCCTCCCACATCTATGCTTGGATTTTGGCTGCTTTAGTCTTATACAAGTATTCACAGATACCGTGAGTTTATACATTCAGCTCTAATCATATCTGGCAAGAAGAGTTTTGATGCAGATGTCCAGTGCCTTTGGCTCTTACAATCTTTTTACCCCTATTCTGTGATGCTCCCTGAGCCTTAGGAGGAGGAGGAGGTGTGATATAGATGTCCCATTTAGAGATGGGCAGTCCACAGTCTGTTATTGTCTACATGCTGACCAGTTTATAAGTTTCTTTATTTATCATTTATTGTAAAAAGAAGCTTCTCTTGTATGGATTGGGAGATGCATTGTTACAAAGTTGAGAACTTATTATTATTCCCATTTTGCAGAATAATAATATTAGATTATCCCCTAAGGCCTATGATCTAACCATCTATGGGATTTTGGGCCTACTTAACCATACCAGGCATGAGTTCCATCTTATGGATCAGACTTTAGATCCATGTAGATATTTGGGTGGCTGGATGTAGAGGGGATTCCAGCATTGATGGGAAACATATTGGCAGGGGTGACAGTAGTAGTGTTCATGTGGAGGTGATGGTGATCATAGAAATAAATGGTGGAAGAGGTCATGGTGCTTTGGTCATGGTGTCTCTTTACAGCAATAAAAAAGTAAGACACATACCATCTGAGGAGGAAGATACCAAACAGTGATTAAAATACTGGAAACATGCCCATTTTATTTGTTATTTTTCTGTTGCTATGATAAAATACCCTTATCAAAAGCAACTTCTAGATGGAAGAGTTTATTTGGTTTATGGTTCCAGAGGAATAAAGAGTCCATTAGGGTGAGGAGGCATGGCTACAAGCAATAGTCATAGTGGCAGGAGCAGGAAACTGATTACATCATGAAACAGAGAGAACTGGAAGTGTAGGGCAAGGCTGGGCCCCCTCAAAGTTTACCCCCAGTGACATACTTCCTCCAGCAATGCTGCAACTCCTAAACATCCCTAAGCAGTATCACCAATTGGGAACCAAGTGTTCAAATGCCCGAGCCTGTTGGGGACATTTCTTATTCA